GCATTGAACAAGTCTTTGCTGTACCTAACGGAGGTAATCCAGCAGTAACTGTATTGTAGCAGATGCTCAATGAGTCATTTCAACCTAAAGATCAAAGTTGTATAGAGTGACAATTTTAGCTTTTGGTAAAGGGGTTGTCCACCTTAAGGCTTATTCACACTACCGCGCATATACGCGCGTATTGTACCATATGCAAATAAATGGCTCCATACACATAGCCGCGCATGGAGCCGTATATTTGCGTAGCGCAAAAACAGAATGTAACAGAGATGCGTCCGGGCAGCGGATTTCTGCGGATTTTACACGCATACGCATGATTACTTGTGTATACAAGCGTATGTGCATACAGTTCATTAAAATTTCTATTAGGAATGATGCATTCTGGGAATGCAAATAGTGCATGCATAGACGCTCGTATATACGCGCATAGACGCAATATACAATTTTGCTCTTGCGTTGTGTGTGAATGAGGCCTTAAGAGGCGCGAAACCCAATCACTAAAATCTCATATAAGCTTTAACATGTAATTTCTAAAGTTTTCAATCTTTTTAAATCTGCAGCTTTTTATTAAAATAATCCTTGGTCATCATCTTGCCATAAAAATGCCTTATTCAGGGACTTCCTGCTTTGCTGGGACAGCTGTCTTTCAGTTGTGTTCTTGCGTTGGCACCCTGTCACGTGCTCTCCTGCTGGAGACTATAAAAGGCCACGCGGACACCCATTGCGCAGTCATGGTCACCATTTGTCGTGATCAGGAAGCTGTACAGAACATGAATGTGCATGTAGACAGGAAGTGGCTGAAGGTGATCAGCAACACTGAGATGGGGAAAGGATGACAAAAAGGTGAAAATAGTATTGCATCCATGCCAATTGTTTGATACAAAGTCCACATAGTTAGGAATAATAATATGATCCGAGCTGGCTGTTAGAGCTTTCCCTGCTGCCTGTCTCACCTTCAGCTCTAGCGGCCTAATGTCCTGAGGCAACATGTCCTATATGGTGTATAGAACGTGAGGATGCCGAGGGACATTCCATCGTTGAAGCAGGAGGAGACAGGCTGAAGGGAGTGCTGTAAGAACCAGCTGGGATTGTGGTTCTGGTGAGTATATCTTTGTTTTTTTTTTAGCTCCCCGGACAAAACGAGCATTTAACCCTTGCAGTGCAGGAGTAGCCCCACTGCATGGGTCAAGATTTTATTTGCATACCTGTTGTGACTTTTATGAGGGGGCCACTTTTCCTGATGCATTTTATAACTTGTTTTATTATTAATATAAAATTTTCGAACACACAAAGTTCTCAGATAGGCACAATTATAAACTGGAATTGGTCATGGAGTTATCACTGTTGTGACTGACACTCCTCCTTCCACTCCAATCGGTTGCGGCAGGGGCACTCCCCGTCCCTCTTTTGTGAGGTGTGGCTGTGGGGTGGGGAATGCTCTTGCCGCAGCTGATTGGGCCGGGAGGGGTGTTTTAGTCACAGTTCTGTGAACTCCGGTGAGCTTGGTTAACGCCAATGTATGAGAAGCCAGGGATTGACTCAGCCCATCATATTCCACCTATGACTAAAATATCAGTTTGTGTGTGGTCCGACCCTATATTGGAATAGAAAATACAATTTCAATATTTATATTTTAGTTTTCTTTGCTAACCCCATACTAAGCTGTGATGTGCCCACACTGCACAGCAACAGACTAGAAGTCAACTGTGAGTAGTTAAGGGTAGTCGTATTAATGAAAGCTAGTTGTTGTAGGTTATACACTCATCATCACTCTGTAATATATAGGTTGTCATGTTACAGAGCAACTGCAAGCCAGTAGTGCCACATAGTCATTGGGCCATTAAACGTCCTACACCCTGTTAACAGCTTAGTCATGTAATCTGCTTTCTAGAACTAATACAGTGAAGGTTAAAAGTGAAATCCCTTTATGTGGCAGCAATGACATTCTACTGAGACCTGTAATAACTTTTGTTATAGCTTATGTCTGCCCTGTTGTCTGTAGCCTCGGCCTACCTTGTTAAAGCTTATCCCTACCTTGTAGTTGTCCCTTACACCTACCTTTTTCCTGAGGGGCATCTTTAGTTATTTTAGATACTTTGAAAAGAATACCACCTCATGGGGTATAATTTGTTGCTACGAATCAGCAGATTTTGTACCGCAAAGTCACTTTAAGCTACATCCATAATGTTTGTCTGTTTTTCGGAATTGTATATTATTTATTTGAAGGTCTTAATGAAACAAAATAGGGATGTCCCGATACAGATGCTAGCCTCGGTATCTGGCCCAATACAGGGCATTTTCACAAGTACTTGTGAAAATGCCCCCGTACATAATTTCGTATTGCCCGACGCCCGGGACATATAGGGACATGGAGCAGTGACAGGGCAGGGGGCGTGGAGCGGTGACGGAGCTGGACACATGGAGCTGCGACAGGCTCTGTCACCTCCCTCAGCCTCTGTCCCCGGCTCGTTCTTGTCACAGGAGTTCTAGCACAGTGCTGTGCTAGAACTCCTGTGTTGGAGGTGACAGGACCAATAACGAGTACCTGTCACCTCCAAATGCTATCACACAAGGGTTTGTTAGCCCATGTGTGATAGCAATAAAATTTAAGTGAAAAAAATTGTTAGGAAAAGTAAAAAATAATAAAAGTAAAAAACAAACAACTGATTAAAAATGTAACTAAATAATAATAAATAAAAAGACAAAGTAAAAATAATAAAATAAGTTAAACATGTTTACAAAGTAAATAAAAATTGTAAAAAAATGAAAACCAGCCCCGCTGCCCCCATCTGCATTAGAATAAACGTACAGTGTTTTCAACCACGATCGTGTGCAACCGCACGGGCAGGGTATTGCGGCTGGAAACCGCACGATTGGGGTGACATTAGAAAATAATGGCACTGCCAGTGCGATCGGCGGTGGTGTGCAATCCGTGACTGCCCGGTCATCGTGCACAAAACCGAGCACATGGCTGGGCGGTCATGGAATCGCACGCCACCGCCGATTGCGCTGGCAGTGCCATTATTTTCTAATGGCACTCCATTTGCGCCAGGCAGATTGCACGGTTTCCCACCGCAATACCGCCTGGGTGGTCCCACACGATCGCACTTGAAAACATGAATAGGTAAAATGTTTTATTGTTCTAAAACAGTCTTAAATTAAAGTTCTTCATAATCATAAACAAATTGGCCTAAAATCATTAGTCTATTGGTTTTTTAAAAATGTCACCTGTCCCTTTAAGAAAAATCGGTAATTGGTATCGGCAAGTACATGAGGGGAAGTACTTGGCCTTAAAAAAGGGGTGTCGGGACATGCCTAAAACAAAATATTTGATTAGCGTAAAGCAGGGGTCGCATACGATTTACATGTGGTATGGAGGCGTGTACATGCAGCGACTGTCACACGATCATTAACTTGAATGGGTGACAGTTGCTGAATGTAAATGCCAGATTAGGGATTTCTGCTGCCGGAAAACGCAAGTTTGTGACACAGGAATCCCTAATAGCACCTGAAATATAGGGGACTCAAAAGCTCGGAACTGACAGAGCTCCGGCCGGATCTGACAGGAGCTGCTCTGCGGTCTGCATCCGACAGAGATGCAGATTGTGTAGCTGCTCCCGCAAGTCGGGCACGCGGTCTGTGACCGTGTGCCCGACTTGTCAACTGGCTGCGGGCCACATAGTGCCGGCTCGCGGGCCGGTACTTTGAGACCCCTGACGTAAAGTGATGGCTAACTTGTAAGGCATAAAACATCAGCGGATTGGTTGAAAATCAATATTATGATAAATAAATAATTTGTTTTTTTTGTTTTATTTTCTTTTCTATAAATCCTCTGCTTTTTGCTGTTTACAGGGCATGCCTTTTCTGAGCATTGTAGTCTATTTTATGTATGTTTCTGATGCTTGCACATTCTGTTTCTTATTTCCTCAGCATTAAACAAGTGAGTCATATATGTAATTATTCCAATGGAACCATTTGCTTGTTGTCATAGACACACTCGCATTCTGATGCCCATAAGAGCAGATCTACGTAGGCAGTGTTTTTTCAGCTATCAGCTGGCAGGCCATGCTGGCGATGACAATATGTCAGCTACTGGCTGGCTTCTTTTTATTTTTTGCTCGGCTAACTGGAGAAAAAAAACTGAGCTACAGTATGGTCTGCTCATTGACTTCATCTAGATTGCGCAGCGGTGGACCTCTTTTACACAGGCGTCTCTGTTCCATAAAAAAACCCTGTAAATGATGAGCTATGATCTGCAGTATGGTCTGCTCATTGACTTCTTCATCTAGACCACACAGTGGTGGACCTCTTTTACACGGGCTTCTCCGTTCCATAAACAAACCCTGTAAATGATGAGCTATGATCTGCAGTATCGTCTGCTCATTGACTTCTTCATCTAGATCACGGAGTGGTGGACTTCTTTTACACGGATGTCTCTGTTGTGTCTCAGCAGGGTTCCATAGACGGATGCCCTGCTGAGATGGGTCAGGATGGTAATGAATGTGGCATATGTGACATCAGTGTTTGTTCCAATACATAATATTGAACTGGCAGATTTTTCTTGCCTGCCTGTGACCTTGCTGGGTAGAACAACATTCCCAGCGTGGTTACCAGGAAAAGAAATGAGCACAAAGTAGTAATAACCTAAAAAAGGTTTCATCCCTATCGCACTCTCATGAAAAGTTGAGTAGTGTATTCGGGGCACAGTTAAAACACCTTTCAGTTTTTGTGCTATCTGCATTCCTTTGGGCAGATTTCCCTTTACATCCTGTCCTGTAAAGACCACAGGAAGTGAGGGAAAAGTGGTGAAAATTTCCTTTTAGACCATTGTCACTGGTACAAGTTTCTCTAGCTGTCATGCTGACCCTCTTTGTGAAATAGTTTAAGGTTCTTATGTAAATAATTATCTCCCAGACCCAACAACATGACCTACTCCAATTATGATGGAACAGTTTCTTCCTGGTCACTTAAGGTTTGTAAACTTATTAAAGATGCCCATAGGATGTACTTCATCAATGCAGCGACACAATTTCACATAGCCCTGTGAATATGCACTTCCTTGTGTCACAAATCTCACAGACCTGCCTTCTGAACCATAACCTCTAAACAATGTGACATTATCATTGTTTGTTGGAAGCAATGCATGATGGGATATGCAGTTTTGAGAACTTGAGATGTGTCACATCAAGCAGCAGGGGCGCAAAGCACACTGGGAATGCAGGAAGTTTGTGAAAGTGATGGGAAGACAGAAAGCAACACTTGCTACATAAAAGGGATTTTTTTTTTTTTTCAAGTAAGCTTTGATTGTATTATCAAAAACATTAGTATGTATTCCTATTATGATGCTGATGATGTAAGAGGGTTTATGCCGGGACTTTAGAGGAAAGCTGTACTAAAGCTTCAATTTCTGACCTCTTCCGGTAAAAATGCTACTTGCCTGACTGTCATGCTGTTCCAATAGTTGTATTGTGAGAAACTGAGAGCAAGTATAGAGATCAAGAGTTCTGACTTCATTTAAGGCATACTTGTTCCAGATCAGTGGCCAGAGATGGGGAAAGCAGTGAGCAAAAGAAAGTCATTAATGGCAGGCTTCATAGTTTTTCAGATTTTGTCTAAACTTCCACTTAAAGTGACTCTGACTCTTTACTAAACAGATCTGTCATCAGGTGTAAAGTACAAGCATCTAACGTTGAACTTCAGCTCTCATTCTTCTCTGCTATGGCCAAATGCCAGCAATTCTGAATAAGACATCTTTACCACTTCAGGGTAACATTGGAGCTTTTCCACTCTTTCCCTCCTCCCTCCCACATTCCTTTTTGGCCCTTCTGTACTTCCTTGGCTAGTTGGAATGGTTGTGAGGAGTTAGTGACGGGCATTCTCAATCCTTACCAGAATGTTCTGCAGCTTTGCCTAATACAGAACATGCAGCAATCAGCCATAGCCGTGGTGAATGAGACCTGTTGCAAGTGTATATATAGCTGCTATATCCCTTCATTTTAGTGACGGGGTCACTTTATATCTACTTATGGTTAGAGAAGTAAAATGGCAATTTTTGTAGTTTTGTTCAGTGATGGGCATTCTGCCCAGTGATCTAAATATGTATGTATTTTTTTTCATGCAGCATTTATGAACCTTGATAAGAAGGAGCAGAAGAGCCTATCAGTGGAGCAACCATCCATCAGACAGAAGAACTACTCTTTCAAAAATGATGAAGTCAGGCATATAGACCGAGAAAACCAAAGGTTGCTGAAAGAGCTGTCCAGGCAAGCTTCAAAGTCTAAAAGCAAGAGTCTGACCCCCAAGAAACCAAACGGCACCCCATCCCGCCTCTACCATAGCGCTCTGAATAGACAAAGGGAGCAACAACGTATTGAAAGGGAAAATCTGGTAAGGGAACAAAACTGGTGCATTTATACAAATGGGTTTTGTGAACTGCCTTCCTCTTTCTTCTGCAAAAAATTAAAGGAAACCTGTCATGAGAAACGTAAAGCTTGCCATTGCTGAATTCCTCTACTGTAAATGCTAGTTGCCTTGCTATCATTCCAATCTTCATGATTTCATTTTTGACGCATACAGATAAGGCACTTCAAGTTTCCTGACTTTCATGATTTTCATACTTATCGCAGGTAAGTGATGTAGAATGTATTGAAGCCAGTATGTGACATAACAGCCAAGGAACTACCATTTTTCCAACGGATATCAAAAATGGCAGGCAACATTTTCCTGATGGAGTCGCTATCCATAATAGGTTTACTTTTGGTCAGAATTTGTTAGTTACCTATTCCTTAATTTGTATAACCTGAAAAAGATCCTTGATACATGTATGTAGAATGAGCTTGCCTATGTACCATTGTGTTAGGACTGTATGTATACAGTAGAGCTGTGATCTAAGAGTATGCAAGTACTTCCCATTTCTTCAACCCTATGCAGAGAATGAGCTACAGACCTTCTAAATAGACTTGGTTAATCCGGAATCCTCATGACCCGTCCAATGCGTTTCATCACCTGTACTTTCTCAGTATTGGTCTGAGGTTCTCTTTAGGAAGTCCAGAAGTGAGGAGACAAGTTTTGCAGGGTCAGGGACGTCGTCATGTATGGAAGTACTCTCCTACTCGGAGACAACAGGAGAGAGGAGGACTGAGTGCAGTAGTTTGGTGCTGTTATAACACCAGAAAAGTCTATTTAAAGCTGGCCATACACCTATCCAATTTATTTTGTTCAACCCGCGGGCTGAATGGAAAAAATTGATGCGATTCCTCCATCACCTGTCAGAATAGCTGATCAGAGCTGGCAGCTCATTGGCTGTCGGCTCTGATTGTACGAACATTTTCCAGCCAGCTCCTTTTGATCAGCTGATCGAGGAATGCCGGCTGAGAGGGAGCCGACAGCCCCACACACTGGCCGAATTTCAGCCGATACCTTTTAGTTTTATGCCATAGCGATTTCCTTGTTTCTATTTTCCTGAAAGTGCATTAGACATTGTTCATTATAAGGTCATAGCTATCTGGTGAGTTACTCTGACTGGGGGTCACAGAGAGGCACCCCACTTATAAAGGTTGATTATGTATGTGGTTTAAATGCAATAGCAGGAGTGACAGAGCGGTGGATGAATATAGGCATTAGGCATAAGGATGTCCGCACCGGTGAGGGTACTCTCAGAGGTTGCTTTGCTTGAGGGGAGGTGAGTTTAGCAGAGTTTTAGTTCTGCTTTAACATTCTAACAGCATGGGCTTAAAAAGACATATTGTGATCATGAAGGCATTAATAACTAATAGTACAAGTATTTATAAATCACAAGCTTTTAGGAGTCTGTAGCCTCTTTTTGAGATGCTTTTCCCTCATGAGAATTTTTGTTTTGGTTTATTCTATTTATTTACCTTGGTGAACAGTAGAGGGCAGCAGCGTAACACACCGGCCATTGTTTCAGCTTTCCACAATGTCATCTGGCTTCACTGTGTTCAGCCATTTGACTGGTTTGCATGCATTTGAAAAGAGAACCTACAGCACAGAAACATTAGATTTCATCTGTTCATTTCTGTGGGTTGCTGAAGCCTGCTGCTTGTCTCTCCAGTTTTAATAAAACACATAATTCATGGTTGTTAATGGCCAAGCGTGAAAATGAACAGAAAACGCAACAATAGAAATCTGTTCTTATTATAGATTATATTCTCCTGATTCTTGTTATGACGTGTGTGGCAGTAATATTTAAACGTTTGTAAATACTGTGAATTTTCTATGTTTGTCAATACCAACACAATGAACTCTTCTCCACTTGCATTTTGGCATGATAAAGTGCAGAAACGGATTGAAGGGCCATCAATTTCAGATCTTTTGTTTTAATAAACTATCGGCTGCTATGATTTTGCACCATGGTTTCTTTTATGTTTACTTTCATCTTAGATAACCATCTGTAAAATGTGACTGCACCTCCAATTGTTAAAGGAGAACTATGAGATGAGTGATTTCCACTCACCTCATAGTTCTAGCCGACCTGTGACAATGAGACTGTCACAGGTCGGCTCAGTAGATCGGGAGGTGAGCGAACACATACCGGCGTTCGCTCACCTCTCGATCCTGTCACGGGTCTCTGCTGTGACAGGGGGACGGGCTGGATTCCCCTCACCCCGCTCCGATCTGCCAGCGCTGAACCTGTGCTTTGCCCATGCAATACAACAGGTCTACTTTATTGCCCTCTTCCCAGCAGCTCATTTTTGCTTTTCCTTCCCTCCACCACTGCTCTGTTTGGCTACTGGTAATTGAGAAAAAAACAGCCCTGTGTGAGTTGTCACTCTCCAGTTGGAGCGTATGCAGAGACCAGGACAATCTCTCTGCTCCAATGTGACAGTGCTGAGCTTGTCATAGGCACCAACTCTGTAACATAGTGGTTTGCATGCACTTCGTACCTGGGTATTTTCTTCGCTGCCAACACATAAATGGAGACATGGAGAAGCAAAGGCAAGGGAAGTTTATGCTGCTGGGGAGGTAGGCAATAAAGCAAACCAGTCGCTTTGCCTTGCAAAAGCAAAGTACATATTTGCTTTAAACTGAATTATAGTTGTTTTTAGTCATGTATGCACTGCTACCAGTCAGTGCATCCAGATTCTGTAGCTTTGTGCAGACTACTGCAGATAATCAATACAACCTGTTCAGGACCTTCTCCAGCCTGTGGGTGGGTAATGATGGAGCAGCAGCGCTCTGATGAGGTCATCACTCTTCTTTCTCCTCCTGTAAGCATGTTCAAACTGTTGACTGACAGCACTGTGCACAACCAAAAAAGCTCAGCCCCAGCAGTGCAGCTATTCAGGGTATAACTGAAGATTTGGACTCATGTGCTGGTTCAATGTAAAAAAGTTTTACTCTCTATATAACTGATTACATTGTTTATTAATATTTTAAACATATTCATATTTTATTCTATACATACATAGAGTTCAGCTTTTAAAAACAGTCGATATAAAGATGGAAAAGCTTTATTTATTTTTAAATAAGAACTATCTGATTATTTAAAAAAACGTACCGTAGCTATGTTATGTGTACTGATACTCTGCCGTTACCTGAGGGGGGTCGCCGTGACAATTAAACAAATCAAACTGCATACAAATACTATAAATCTTTTAATTGTTGACTGGATCATCTTTAAATGGAATGGGAATGGCTTGATAAATGTGAGGCGTTAGCATCCAGTCAACTATAAAAGTTAGACTTCTTCCACCATCCCTTCCTGTTAACTATAACATTAAAATGTCCATTTTATTCTGATATTTTGTGGGGTACATCTGCTGGGTTATGCTGGTTATTGTACTGAAAGGACATACAAACACATGTGAAAGGGAGCACAGCTCTGTGAAAGTGACATTTGGAGAAGGACATTGGTAGTATAAATAATCTGGAACAGGTGTAGCAGTCATCTACTCGGTGCTCCAGCTGTCAAAGACCTCAAGCTTAGTGATGTAACAAGTGCGTGCGAGTGGCGCTCACTGCTATATGACCCAGATTAACCAGCTCAAAGACTTATTCATTGTTATACTGCAGGCCTTTGCTATGTGGAAGCATTAACGTGTAGGGTCAATACCCACCAGGAAAGCAAGAAGAATTGAGATTTCAACATGGCCAAAATTCTAGAAACGGTTTGAATTTGACACTAACCACTTCTCATGCAAGCCTTTTTTTAATTTGCATTCATTTGTTAATGATGAAATCTGAATTTTTCAGCTACAAAACGGCTTAAAACCCCCAAACAATTATACATTTTCTGAAAGCAGAGGGCCTGTAAAATTAAAAATAGGGATGCAGCGATATATCGGCCATCGAAATATATCCGCTGAAAATGGCACTTTTGAAAAATGCAGAAAGTGCAATTTTTTTGGCCGAAATAGCGGTGCATCAGGGATTTCTCTCCTGCTCTGTGTCCCAGCGGGGAGGAGAGAAACTATCACAGGAGGCCGAGCGCTGCTGGAGGAGAGCACTGTGAGCGGCCGGCGTCTCTCCTCCCCACACCGCTCAGCCTCCTATCACAGATCAGGAGATCGGCGGTGTGGGTGGAGACAGCCATTGTCACAGGAGACGGAGCTCTCCTACCGCTCCGCCCAGCCTCCTTTGACGGCATGTCAGGATGGGGAGCAAGCACAAAGACTCAGCGATCAATGATCGCTGAGTGTTTGTAAATAATTGAGGACAGAGTATGTTTTTACTGTGTCCCCAATTATAAATGTTCATTCATGATTGTGGACATAGTAAAAAATACTATCTCCACAAGTTATGAATGAAAAGGAACACTCGGTATAGAGGATTCCTGTTCATTTATAATGGGGGCTGTCCTCCATCTCTTTTTTTTTCTATTTTAAAAGGGAAGTATCAGGGGTCTGTTTTAGACCCCTAATATTTCCCTGAAGCCCCTAAAAGTACATTCAAAATAAAATATTTAAAACATTTTGAAAAAGTTAGAAGAAAAAACATTTTCGGATTTAGCCTGACGTGTTTTTTTTTTTTTTTTTCGGTTTTGAAATTTTCGTTTCAGTGCACAATGCTATTTGCAATTTTTAGTCACACAATTTTTGCTCAAATGTTATCCAAATTAATACTTACAAAAAAAAATGTACTAAAATTAATTTTAGTACACATAACCACAATATAATACCCAGTTCTTAGGTAAAATACAAATATGGGGTCATGTCGGCTAAATGGATACCAAACATGTCCAAGCTTAAAATTGCCTGCACACATGAAATGGCAAAAAACTACGATACCCAAAATTGCTCACTTTTACCACTTACCACTTTGAAAGACTTTGCCTCTCATCAATTTAGAGTTAACAGTAAGTGATGGTGCCACCAGCCAACAGACCGCTTGTATGTAAAACAGCCACAGCCAGCTGTTTCAGATAGGGACAGTTTTCCGCTTGTGCGGGCACACGGACGTTTCGAAACAACCACCCCTCTGGCCGTTTTTATACGGGAAGCAGTTAAAGAGATATAGATAGATTCTTTTATAAGGGTTTTTCTTTATACCGTATTGCCATCGCATAGATGGCTATTTCATACAAAAACAATATTAGTCTGATTCATTGTTGTTGATTGGCCCATCAACTGATGATTCGCCCATCCCCTATGAAAGCTGCTTTTGACAACATCATGTGAAATCTTGCGTCTTCATTATGTATGTGCCCAAAGGATAATATAACCTGCTGGCATATTTGCCAGACAAACTGAAAAATATGGGTCATCCTGCTACCAGCTGGGGATCTCCAGCCAGCTAACTGATCAAAAAATGCCCTACATGTAGAAAACGTAAATTGATTGTACAACTGTGCTGTGATTATTTGGTAATAATTGGTTTCTAGTGATATAAATATACAGCTAAAAGAATTACCTATGCTCCTCAGCTCCATCTAGTGGCCATAATGCAGTGAAAATTCCGCAGACAAATACGTGTATATTCTTGGTTTTCCTGGACTAATGCATCAGTAACACATGATTGTCTTGCAGGCTTTGTTAAAGAGATTAGAGTCAGTGAAGCCAACGGTTGGTATGACCCGCTCTGAACAATTCATGGACTATCAGCGCCAAGCAGGATATTTGAGCTCAGCGGCCTCCTCACCAAGGCCTGGAAAGGCCTCTATAAGCCGGCTGGGCACCTCATCAGGTAAGCATTTAGACTAGAGATTCATTGACAATTTTACTATGTATTGGTTACTGGTGTACCATTAGTCTTTCTCATTAGGGGTCACTGGTGTAAATATGCAGAAAGGAGAAAAAGATGGAGGCGGTTTCCTTGGCAACCAATTGGGTTTTAGTTTTTAGATTAGAATATGTCGGAATGTGGTGATTAGAGCAGGGTGCACGCCACAGCTTCACAGCCACTAATGCGCAATTAACCAGTTTCTACAGTGTGAGGTCAAACTGAACAAAGGCCATGTCACTTGGGTTCAGTTTACTATGGCTGTGTGTGGGCTCCTTTTCATCACCTATCGTTCACATGCTCTGTGATTTTCATTTTATTACCACTAATAAATTGTTGGCTGGGAAGTCTTGCCTTCGCTTTGGTTGCTTTTTGTATATACGTGTGTTTGAACGTTCATACACTTGTTTTGTACAGAACTATAGTAGCTGGGAGGTCTTGTTCTTACTTTTGGAGTTGACTAGTCTTTAATGTATGTTTACTTGTACGTCTTGGTGTTCTCTAGTTTCTGACAAAACGTAATTTAACCACACTGAGTTGACTAAACAATGTGAAAATAGAAATATGTCAAGTGTGCATTTCTAAACTGGCTTCATAATGACATGCAACCATCTCCAGCTAAACCCTCCTCCATTTTTGACTGTCATTCAAGCCTTAGTGGGGAAAGTTTCCTGAAGTCAGCATGATTTTTCACCCTGCTGACAAAAGCTAATTTTATCAGAATCCCGAATCCTCATATAAAGTTTTATATTATAAAATGAGAAGAGAAATACTTTTGTGCAGCTTCAAGTACCATCCGTTTTTGTTTTTGTTTCAGGGACAGAGGGAGGGAGGCAGATCCAATAATTCGGTTTCCCTCCTTGACCAGTTAAGTAGGGTATACACTGAATTTCGATCACAATCGATTTCGGAACGTATATTCAACTTTCTAAAAGTGGATGGGGTCAAATCGATGATCAATTATGATATAAATTTGGAGGGGCATGTTCAGAATTTTTTTCTATCGAACGAAATTCTAACGGTGAATGTGTTTGCTTTTTGTTTCGGAAACTCCATTCGTTCCAAAATTGAATGTTGAATCAAATGAAAATCATACAAAATTTCGAACCTCAATCGTCAAATCTCTGAAGGCATTATTGAACATTGCGACAAGATTTTTTTTTGTACAGACGTTCGTTCGAAAATCTACCAGTGTATATCCTACTTCAGTTAGTGACTGTGTCTGCATAAAGATTCTACAAGTCAATGTGCTTGTGCCTAAACATGACGGCATGTCAAAGCTGTGCTCCTTTTATCATTGCAGTTTAGACAACAAGCATGGGGGTGTGAAAGTTAACTTAAAGCTGAACTCTAGGATTCTCTTAAAATTTCTCCTAAACTTCCCTTATCGTGACCACAAAAAAGGAGCTTTTTTTTTTTTCTTCTAAGTTACACACCTCCTGTGAAATCAATCTATTGTGCTGTGGCAACATCCATATAGCAGTGTAGGTATAAGCGCTGCTGGAAGGAGGGGTCTGATGTCCTATCCTTTTCCTCTTCCTCTTCAGCTGTATCTATAGACTACAAGTCCCATGATGCTTTGGGGCATTACAAACAGTGGTGAGTGGGATTGTGGGCCAGCGTTTACATGAAGCCATGCATTCGTGAGCAGACAGGACACACTTGGAGACTGACAATCGGTTAATGCAGGAAAAGTGGGAGGGAATGAGCACGGGAACCTATAACCTCCAACAGCAGAGAGCAGTGAAATAATGTCAGATGGGCGGTTACATGACCAGTGGTCCTGCTCAAAGGGAGAGCATGCCATCAGTGATAAAAGATGGCACTGGGTTTTATCCTTCCCCTGCTTTATCCAAAAAGGGAAAAGTTTTAACTAGAGATGCGCTTTATCTGTCCTGTAAAAGGGTGCAGTCTCTAAGCTGGAATCAGACAACTTGTGTCAAAGGCTTTTCAGGCAGGTGTATGCTGATAACATCTTTTTAAAGTACCGTATATACTCGAGTATAAGCCGAGATTTTCAGCCCATTTTTAGTATATTTATATTTTAAAAAAAAAAAGAGTAGAGAAAGGTTAGAACTTCTTTCAGGATTTATAGCTAAAGCAACAATGGCTTTGGACTGCTCAAATCTATTTAAAACTAGCAGAAAGGTGCAGGAGCAGGGTGATACACAAATGCAATATAAAAGTTCCCCAGCACACTGGCTAGCGAGCAAAAAAGTCTACCTGAAAAAATGGTTTTAATTCTGTCTATTAAAACAGAGGTTTCTCAATACATATGTAAATACATGTGATGTCCCATTGCCGCACCAAGGCATCCCATCAAAATATGTTCCATAACTGTAAATGATCCTAACTCCCAATTATAATACATATACACTGATCAGTCATAACATTATGGCCACTGAAAGGTGAAGTGAAGTGGGTGGGATATATGAGACAGCAAGTGAATATTTTGTTAATCTGTTGGAAGCAGAAGAAATGGGCAAGCGACTATGTGACTATGACAAGGGTCAAATTGTGATGGCAGGAAGACTGGGTCAGAGCAACTCCAAAACTGCAGCTCTTGTGGGATGTTCCTTGTCTGCAGTGGTCGGGACCTACTAAAAGTGGTCCAAGGAAGCAAAAGCGGTGAACTGGCTTACAGGATCATGGGCGGCCAAGGATCATTAATGCACAGCTCCTCCATGGCTTTAGCAGGGGAAGACAGCGGGGTGCTCGCTGGCAGGAGTGTCCTTGGTCCAACCAAACAGGTATATAGTAAAGAAAAAAACCTGTCTGCACTTTGATCCATGGTGAATCAGTTTAATGAAAGTTTGTGACACTGAGTCGGACCTTAGGCAGGACTCGGTGTCACTGACGAACTTTCAAATAAACTGATTCAGCGTGAAACTGAGTGCAGATGGATTCTTTCTTCACTATAAACCACTCGGATCAATTTAAAACTAGCAACAAGGGGAAAGATGCACATGGACAGGGAGATGCAATCATTTGCCAGCACATTTCATGCTAGTCGGCAATACTTGCTAGGGCGTTTCACCCTTTTCATATGTCCTGCGAACCATAGTCACTAACCAAGAAAGAGAATCCTAAATGTTATAGTTGTTACTGGAACAGGAATAATACATGTGTGCCTATGATGAATCCTGCATACCAATAGTCTGTGCTAAAGTATCTTCATATTTTGTATTTACCTCCATTTTAGGTGGCCTCTCAAGGGTGTCGAGTGCCAGCAGTCGAACTGGTCGCATGGGCAGTAGTGGCGCTTTACTCCGGCCGTCTAAATCCTGCAATGCACGAACAGCATGGATGTAACGCCTCTTAGGAGCCGGTGTCCCCACAAATTTCCAGCATTCTTATAAGCTCCTCTTGTAAACTGGTGTAATTCGAAAGTAACACTGTTGTTACAATTCAAAACAAAAAGGCAACCTGAAAAAGCGTTATATTTACTAACCAAAGCATTTTCAGCATCCAACACACTTCTGGGTGTGTTGAATGAATGCTGCAGTTTCAGGCACCAGCCACTACATCATTACTGCATCCCTGCAAAGTTGTAGTGATTTGGCAGCCAGCGTGTGAAACCACAGCGTGCCGTGAGACATGCTAGAAGTATGTTGGATACTGAAGATTCTGTGGGTAGTGAAGATCGGGGTCACTGCCTGCCAGACTGGTAGGTGTTACCTCTTCTTTTGCAGAGTGCCTTTTTTTTTTTTTTTCCCCTGTGGTATCTTTCTTTCTGGTAACAGAGTTGGTTTAAAGAAAAAGCACTCCATAAGTTGAAATGCTTGTTAAATTCCCTGAGGAACCCAGTGCATATCACATTAGGTCTCATTAAATCTGTGCAGTGATTTTTTAAATAAAATGTTATTTTTATTTGTCAATGCTGTCTCTACATCTACCCCAGGCTGAAGCTCAGTATATGGACGTTCCTATGGAGTAACATCCAGCAATGAAGCTGCCTCTTCATTTTTCAGCCCTTTATGTAATATTGCCATATAGAAAAGATTGAACTATAAAAGAACTGACAGAAAAGACTCACGTTAGACCCAGTCGCCTGCTATTCAGTGAGAGAGATGACAGTAGAAGCTGATGAGTTGTGTTGTGAATGACAGCGGCTGGAGAAGAGTGTCCTCATTCAAAAAAACAGAAGCCCACAAACACAACAAGCCAACTACTAATCTAGTTTCTGTTGGATAACTGAGGCCAGACACCTGCTGGGTATTTGGCAGAAAGACACTAGAATTGTAGCTGGTGGCTTATGTTTTGGGCTTTTTAATTTTGTTAATAACAGCATTCCTCTGCAGCATATCCTCATTCAAGAACTCAAGCCAACAGTTACTACTCCACTCTTTCACTTAAGTAGCTGGTGACTAGCAGGTGGGTGTGGGCTCAGTCTTTAATACAAAAGAAGATGGCAGATGAGGCACAGGACTGCAATACCTGGCTGAGCTGCAGATGTTTCATCTTGCAGCTTACAAGGAGGCAGGAGTTGTGTGGACTCTGTGTGCATTGTCTGTCTTGCCCTTCTCCTGCGCCATCAGTAAGAACTGATTAAGTATTCTTCTCCCCTTAGCAGCATGATCATTAGCCGTCAGGGAAAGGTGTGGGGGGCGAGCGCATCAGCTTTCTGACCACGCTACTCAGACTACTGCACAGATTGAATGGGGCAAAGTGTGATGTGCACTGGGTCCCCTGGAGGGGATTGAACAAGCATTTTCAAATTCTGGCAATCCTTTTTTAGCCTTGCTGCAGCCATTTTTTCAGTTTTGGATCGAGGGGGAAGAATTAAACATTTGACAGGTTTTTATGGCTGTCTTGGACCTGATTGGGGAGATTTCCTCTCACTTCCTACCATATGATGACTGTTGCAGAAATTGGCTATTTGGTGATCACCGAGACAGCAATGAAAACTTTGCCAGAAGTTCTACGTTTCTGCACTCAGTTAGAATGTGGTTTTTGGTTGTTTTTTTGTCTGTGACCCTGTTGAAGAAATGTCTTTCTTTCTTTCTTGTACTAAGAGGAAGTGAGGGGAAAGCTCACTTCCCATTAGGGATAGAGAAATAAAAGCTGACAGAGGCTCTAACCCTTCCCTCTATCCAAAACCAAATTAAACATTTTAGCTGGAGATGAGCTTTAACATTCCTTGCTGCTACTGTGACATTCCTTGTCTTAACCAGTATGTGATGTGGTTTGAGGCTTATTTATTTTGTATTGTAAACATGTAACTATATTTTGATTATTAAAAAGTTGTCCTTCCAGAATGCACTTATTACAGGTATTACAGCGCGTGTTACAGTTTTATTCATTTTCTTTTTTTTTTTCTGTAAAAAGACGAATGCCAAACTTCAATATTTATTTCCCTTGATGTAAAAAAAAAAATGATTCCATGATGATGCTCAGTTTGTAAAATTGTTTTTGTTTTGTATTATCTTTATTCTTTACAGATGATTTGATATCTCTTGTTAAAGTGAATTCCTTTAAATTAGCAGTGTGTAGTACTGGATTATTTCTCACAAGTAATGTAAACTCCTCACAAATGTTTCTAAACCCAAGGGCAAAAAGGTCATATTTTGCAGCTTACCAGTCCTTAGATGACTTCTACCTGGTGATCCTGCCAGTAGACACACTTCCTCACCTATGTCCAAAATGTCAACTCACTATACTGTATCTATGAAGAAGCAGTGTTGTCAGTCTAGGGCAGGAGTCAGAACACCTTCCCTGCTCCTCTTCTACTTAACAGGGGGGCTGATGTTCTGCATTCCTCAGCAAGAACTGGGAACAATGTAACTACCCTGTTTCCCCGAAAATAAGACCTACCCCAAAAATAAGACCTAGTACTATTTTTGGGAATTGCTAAAATATAAGACCTACCCCGAAAATAAGACCTAGTTGTGACCATTTCCAGGGCCAATGGTGGCATAAGGGGGGACTTGAAGAGCCGCAGGAGAGAATCGGCGGTGCCAACGAAGCCAGCGCTATAGGAAGCTAGGCGGCACCCGAGGGAGCAGAGCCGCATAAGCCAAGGCCTCCTCTATAGCGCCGCCTCCTGTCACAGGCGCAGTGATATCAAATGCACTCCGCCTGTGAGGAATCTATAGTGAAAGTGCGCTTCGCTCATTCTGGCCAGCGATTGGTTAGCAAATTGCTCTTGGAAAGGTACGGCACCCCTGATTGCCCTGATCACCATATTTTTGTACATGAATAAGTGTGGATTGTTGTACATTTAAAAAAAAAAATAAGACCTACCCCGAAAATAAGACCTAGACGGTGTCTTATTTTCGGGGAAACACAGTATATCTATAGCCAAATTTATAGTTAGGTACAGTTATAAAACTTTTCAGGTTTTTGCTATCTGCATTCTATTGCACAGATTTCCCTTTACACCCTGTCCTGTAAAAAAACACAGGAAGTGAGAGAAAATCACTTAAAAATGGGGAAAATTCCCCTTTAGATCATTGTCACTAGAACACGTTTCTCTGGCTGTCATGATGACCTGCTATGTGAAAAGAAAGACATCTCACACCCCACCCCCCATAGGATGTACTTCCTCAATGCAGTGACACAATTTCACTCAGGCTTGTGGATATGCCCTTCATTTTGTCACCACTCTAAGCTGGCCATCTGAACAATGTAACATCATCATTGCTTGCTGGGAATCCAGGAAGTTGATGAAAGTGATGGGCAGATGGAAGGCAACATTCACTACATAAAAGGGATTTTATACCTGCTGAAGTTGGTCATGCTGGAAGGTTTAATTCTGGGTAACTGGCTTAAAATATTGATACAAGGGGGTATCCATGCCTCTCAGGCAACTAGATTTTGAGAAAGTGTGGTTAGCAGTGGTGGCCTCCATGTTTTATGATGGGTTCCTTTTATGTCCTGAAACATGTTGCCTAATCGAAGGTTAGAATGGAAAGTTCGCCATTTGGTTCAGATTACCCCAGTTCACACTCTTGTAGGGTGCTTGTCCACCTATAGGTTACTCTACAACATGTTTTCATCTTCCAATATTAGCATCCTGGTCCTTTCTGGCATACACAGCCCTGAGGAAGGTGGTACATTACCTCTGGAACACATCTGCAATACGTTTTCTATTCAGCAAAATAAAGCTTTCCTGTTCTTTTTCACACTAGCATTTCAAAGTTTTATTTGTAACTTTATCAATGAATAATGAGCGCTTGTTTTTTAAAACACATTTAACTAGTTTCAATCACAGCTTTTAGTGGTTCAAAAAGCAGCCTATTGGTGGCCATGTGGATCTCTTCCATTGTCAAGTCTTGCACCAGCAATTCATCTGCTGCTACTAAACTTAGGGGTGTATTTATCAAAAAAGTCATTTGTCCTGCAAAATTGCATGTACATCTGCTTTGTGCGAATGGGGCAAAAACAAATGTTATTAGTATATTTACGTTCCAGGTTGAATGTAATTCATTTATCACTATCCCTATCTTGCCAACTCAACTTCCGCAACGTTTCTAAAATTTGCCCTTTTTCTTAAAAAAATTACACCACAAATCCTTATCATTCACTGTGTGCGGTCTTACCAGAGCTGCGTTTGGGTCTCACCAGGGCTGCGTGTGGCGTCTCAGCAGGGCTGTATGCAATATTTCCAAGGCAGTGTTTGGATCTCAGCAGGGCTGCATGTGGGGCTCTCCAGAGCTCCGTTTGGGTGTCACCAGAGCTGCATGTAAGACTCTCCAGGGCTGTACTGGCTATTGCGGGGCTCTCCAGGGCTCCGTTTGGGTGTCACCAGAGCTGCATGAAGGGCTGTACCGGCTATTGCTATTCGATCACGTCCCACCAAGGCTGTATGTGTGGCTCTCCAGGGCTGTACTAGCAGGTCCCAGGTGTCGGGCTCTCCAGCTCTGTATTTGCGGTTGTGATGCTGTCCTTTGCTGTGCTGGTCTCGGGAAGGAGGAGGAGATGTGCGGCTGGACCAGCACTGCCAAGGACAGCTACTATGAGGTCCCTAGGAGGCTTCCTGAGGTCCCCAGCAAGTGCGGGAACTCAGGCAGCTAAACTTGTTTAAAAATGTAAAGGGTCGGTATCGGACTTTAGAATCGGGGAATTTTCACAAATACAAGTACTTGGCCCCGATACTCATACTAGTATTGGTATCGGCACATCACTAGTGTAAAGGCAGAGCTGGTGTTTAGTGATCGTGTTACACAGAATCACAGGGTGGCAGGCAGCTGCGTACAGACTGCTTTACAATCCAACCTCAGTATCAGACTGAGTTTCCTGTGGAGAAAACTTTGAATGTGTAGGATTCAGGCCTAAAAAAGTTCATAAAAAAATTAAGGAAGCCAGCAATGAGTCATGAAAATGTGCACATGTATACATCATCACTGCACCTCTACATTACCACAATAAATGCTTATCACTTACAAAGACCCTCTGCGCCATCTAGTGGCCACAATGCAGTATTTTTCTGATTGACTCTAATCTTCTGAATATATTAAATTCGACCTACAAAGAAATATACTAATAACGTTTGTTATTGCCCACACAACAATACACACAAATACTGGACTCCTGGTTTGTAATGAACATCTGACACTGACGTCTATGCATTACCCAAGCACAGTATAAAAAAATACATACAGTTGTGTGAAAAAGTGTTGGCCCCCTTCCTGATTTTTCATTGTTTTGCACGTTAGCAATCAAGAAATCACTTAAATAAGACATGACTGACAAAGTGAAGCTAACCGTTATGCCAGAAGACATCTGATGAACCCCAAGACTTTTGGGAAAAAACTCTGTGGACTGACGAGACAAAAGTTGAACTTTTTGGAAGGTGTGTGTCCCATTACATCTGGCTTAAGAGTAACACCGCATTTCAGAAAAGGAACATCATACCAACAGTAAAATATGGTGGTGGTAGTGTGATGGTCTGGGGCTGTTTTGCTGCTTCAGGACTTGGAAGACTTGCTGTGATAAATGGAACCATGAATTCTGCTGTCTACCAAAAAATCCTGAAGGATAATGTGCGGCCATCTGTTTGTGACCTCAAGCTGAAGCGAACTTGGGTTCTGCAGCAGGACAATGATCCAAAACACACCAGCAAGTCCACCTCTGAATGGCTGAAGAAAAACAAAATGAAGACTTTGGAGTGGCCTAGTCAAAGTCCTGACCTGAATCCTATTGATATGCTGTGGCATGACCTTAACAAAGCGGTTCATGCTCGAAAACCTTCCAATGTGGCTGAATTACAACAATTCTGCAAAGATGAATGGACCAAAATTCCTGCACGGCGCTGTAACAGACTCATTGCAAGTTATCGCAAACGCTTGATTGCAGTTCTTGCTGCTAAGGGTTGCCCAACCAGTTATTAGGTTTAGGGGGCAAACACTTTTTCACACAGGGCCATGTGGGTTTGGATTTTGTTTTCCCTTAATAATAAAAAAACTTCCTTTAAAAACTGCATGTTGTGTTTACTTGTGTTATCTTTGACTAATATTTAAATTTGTTTAATGATCTGAAACATTAAAGTGTGACAAACGTGCAAAACAATGAAAAATCAGGAAGGGGGCCAACACTTTTTCACACAACTGTACACCAGGGATGCCCTCCAGCTGTGGTGGAACTACGAATCCCATGAGGCTTTGCAAGATTCTCACAGCCACAGACATGACTCCCGTGGAGAGAGATGCTTCATGGGATTTGTAGTTTCACCACAGCTGGAGGGGCGGAGTTTGGGCATCCCTGATATACACAGTCTCAAATGAGTCTCCCGACATGGTGAGCTAGGTTGTCCTTGAGAAAATAAAAGAAAAGAATGCAGCGTTGTTTTTGTGTAGTGTTTATTGACATCCAACCTTATGTAAACAGGGAGGGATTATTATGATTGTACTAGGAGGTAATAGCTATGATAGATTTTGCTAGATATTCACATATTTTATTTCTCTTATTTATAAAGTACATTGCAACACTTCTTTACACATGTCGCACAGGTTTCAATGGATGCACTTACCAACATGCTGTATGCAACGGACAAGTGGCATTCCCCTAACTGTATCACTTTACGGTGTCTATCTCCTAGAATCTTCTGTAACACAGCTTTTCTGAGTTAAATGTAACTCACTGTACTATGTCATGTATCTGTGTAAGGTAGCCTGATGGAACATATACGTCACAGGCTGAGAAAGTGTTAATCTATATTTATATATCCTTGCTTGTTGCATAGCTCCCCTTCTTTTTTCAATTTCCCTAGGAAACAGCTTTTTGTCCCTGAAACCTTATGCTCCACTGTGTCTTCACAAAAATATTTAGAAATGATTAATTAACAGGTTTATTAATTTATGCATATTTCTTGATTTCATCATACAGTACGAGTACAAAAGCACCGCCCATGCCTCTCAATACATTGGACCAGGCACCCTTAAAGAAGGCTTTAGATCCTTCATCTTTAGCAATCTTCCTCCAGCAGTCAATTGTTCCCTTGTACATGATATCAGCTGTAAAGATAAAGACATAGGAGCATATTATGAAAAGCATGACGGTAATCAAAGAAAACATTACGGGTATTGTTTAACACATTTTCACACACAAAAAAAAGTCAGGACCCAGTTATGTAGTGGAGACCACATCCATACCTGAGCCAGGTGTCACTTCATAGATGTGCAGACAAAGGGGTCATTAAACTCTATCAAGTGTGACCAGTGTGTTTCAATTGGGCAAAAAGCTGTCCAGTTGTGGCAACTTCAGTTACAGTCCCTTTCAAAAGCATACCTCCCAACTGTCCCTCATATGGACGGACTGTCCCTTTTGTGGAACCAAATACCTCTATCCTCGTCAGTTGTCCCTCTTTTTGGTCTGATGTGCAGATATCTATGAAAAGTTCTCTTTAACTACCAGAAGTGTCTTTCTGCACTAAAATCTTTATCTCATTTCTTAATTATCTTGTTTGCTATTTTGAAAAGCCAGTATAAAAGAAAAGTAATAGTGAAAAACAAACTCCCCCCCTTGAGCTTATAGTTTGGTGGTCATGCTATGGGTGGAAGGAGGGAGTCACAGATTTGCACTGGTCAGGGCAGCTGATTGTTAGACTTGTACTGGTCCTGCATGTGCCTCTTGCCCAGCAGCTCAGTGATTGGCAGAGAGCGGCTGGGACTAGCGGGGCTGAGTCACCTCTAAGTAATGAGGAAGGGCCCCTAGGCTTGGGCTGTGGCTATATAGTGTGGTTACTTCCCTTATTGACTGCCCACCCCCTGATTGGCTGACCCAGGCTTAAGATGTGGTGGGGTCACCTCCTGTCATCCAACCAGATGTCTGCACTGACATGTGCAAAAACCAACATTCGCCTGTGCCAACAGGGAGCATAGACTGGAAGAGCTACTTAGAGACTCGAGACAGCAGCTTAATAAATGTCACTCTTTATTAATTATAAATGTATAAACATTGGAATCACATAAAACCAAAACCCTAAAAATGTATTTAAGAACTATTTGACAACATTGTCTAAACATTCACACTCCCCATGTATACAGGTGGGCCCCACACACATCCTTTTCATTCAATCAGCGCTGGTAACACAGGGTTTGTTATTTTCCATAGAGATGTAGCAAGGAACAAAAAATACTCCATCCATCAATATGATACAAAGTCACTAAAAATGTTACTGATGTCTGAAAAAAAAGTATTCCATTAAACTTGATAGTCTGATATTGGTGAAATAGTAATATTGTATATTCCTCAGTTCGGATTACTCGCTTGTAAAGCGTTATCTTTCTTAATCACATGTATAACACTTTCTACATTCAAACAGTCAGTCCATTAGGTCAATCATTATTAATGAGTGACAGGGCTCCAGAGCAATCATTGCAGCACTTGCCTCATGTAGGTGATATACATTCATAAGTGGTCTGAGGATGATTATATACTTCTCATGACATTGGACATTATGTGTATTTATTAGCCCATGAGAGAATGATTACATCTGTGTTGATCAGCACCACACTTTCCTACTTCTCAAGATTTCCTATGGCGACGGTTTCATAAGCATATCTCTTTCACTTCTCATAATGAGCCAGAAAATGCTCTTTATATTCTGCAATAGTAATGATTGTATGCTTGCCAGTCTTTGGAACTTAATGAGACTATGCTGCGCTGCTCATGTGCATACCACTGTCGTTAAATCTACCATGTTAGTTAATCTCCAGCACTCATTTCCTCTGTAGGGTGTGTGAGCGGCAGCCCACCTGAAGAATTCAGTTGACGCGTTTCGTCCCTCCCACAATGGGTCTTTGTCAGAACGTGGCTTCACGCAATTACCCACAGCGCATGTCCCTCCAGGAGCAGGTGTGGGCATGGGTGTGCACGCCTGTGTTGATGAGCCCTAAGGGCTCATGCATATGGGTGCAAATACAGGTGTATAGGCATACAGCATAAAATATGTCTGCATTTGCAGTGCCCAAGAGCCCCAGCTATTGCATTTTTCTGTCCATAGAATTTCATGGTATATGCATGTAAACATCGGTGCCATTTCAGACTTTTTTTTGTTCTTTATATTCATGTGGTAATACTGCAAATAACACACTACCTGTTCCTGAGTGGCTAAGCTCACTCCTCCACTGTACCTATGGGGGAAAGCATAGCTATCACCCAAGTTGGATTTCAGACATGTCTGCTTTTGTTCATCTCCACTACATGGGGATGGGGAGATTAGTAGTTTAGAGAATCCGGGGTCAGCTGACAAGAAGTGACAAGAACCTATACTCGCTGAAAATGTTCTTAGCTTAAATAAAGAAAACGAATGCAGCCACCACAGCTCAGAACTGGTAAGCTGCAACATGTTACATTTTTGTTCTTAAGTTTGTTGCCCTGAGCTTACACAGAAACTGCTATTACAAGTCGGTATTTACATTCTGAGGTAGAAGTCACATTTGGGAACATATGTCCATGCGTGTGCAAACGCCGTTACCGGTGTTTACATGCATATACCATTAAATTCTATGGACAGAAAAATGCAGTAGCTGAGGCTCTTGGGCACTGCAAATAGACGTATTTTATGCTGTATGCCTATACACCGGAATCTGCACCCATATGCATGAGCCCCTCACAGGGGCGTGCACACCTGTTCAGGCACCTACTCCTAGGAGGAACAGGTGCTGCGGGTATTTGCTTGATGAATCCCCATTGTGGGAGGGGCGAAACGCATCCACTCAATTCCCCAGGTGGCCGCCGCTCACACACCCTACAGAGGAAATGAGTGCTGGAGATGAACTAACATGGTGGATTCAACGACAGTGGTCTGCACATGAGCAGCGCAGCAGAGCCTCATTGACTTTCGAAGACTGGCAAGTATACAATCATTACTATTGCTGAATATAAAGAGCATTTTCTGGCTTATTGTGAGAAGTGAAAGAACTATGCTAATCAAGCTGTTGCCATACGATATCTTGAGACGGAAGAAATCTTGAGACGATGGGCATGGATGTACAAATTCTCTCATGGGTTAATAAATACACAATGTTCATACATTTATCATTAATATAGAGTAACATTAATTAAGCTGCATTATCGAGTCTTTAAGTAGCTCTTCCAGCCTATCCTCATTGTTGGCACAGGTTTATGTTGGTTTTTGCGCAGTTTATGATAGTTACAGACCGAGGCTGAAGGCTGATTTCTCTCTTACAGGCTGAAAATATAAGGACCAGACCTCAAGAAGATCCTTATCTTTTTTTGTCTGCACTGACGATATCTAGGGCCTGTTTATACTATGGTGTTGTGGCAATGCAATTAACATGTGTGATGCTCCATGATTTTCAATGATGGTCATGGCTGTGCCCCTGTAAGATTCTCTCTCTCTATATTTGTCACTGGGACTGAAAGTGATGACAAATCCATCATTTAATCCATTTTAATTATCAGCATCACCAGAACAGGAATACAGAGGAAAACCTTAAAATAGGAACACGTGTTTTTTTTACTCAGTTTTGAGAGATTTCATCTGACTTCCTGTTGAATCTACAGAAAGGACAGGAAGTGAAAGGAAATGTCCCCATTGGGACACAATGACTTCAGAAAAACTGACACAGGTGTTATTCCTTCCCTGTTTTATCTATAACTAGAAGAAAGATTTGGGTTCAGATACACTTCAAGGTTGGGGAGTGTAAGAGGGCATTTTTTTTTAGGCAGGAGTAGGCAACATCGGCACTCCACCTGTGGTAAAACTATGAATCCCGTCATGCCTGTGGCTATCAGAGTCTTGCAGTGTCTCATGAGATTTGTAGTTCCACCACAGCTGGAGTGGTGAGGTTGCCTACCCCTGTTGTAAGGTTTGGTTGGCTAACAGTAGACCATCTGGACTGCAAAGAAATAGCTGTAAGATGACTAGATATATGCACTGATATTACCATTGTGGTACAGTAGATTTCACCCCTTACACTGAGTGAATAGTAGCAGATTTAATCTAAGACAGCCCGGAAGCAATTTTCCACGGCAACAACTGATAACTACTGTATGTGTCCAAGCTATCTTAAGTATTTGAGACACACATGGTGTGGTCATGAGAAAACAAGATTGTGACTTACCCCCTTTCCTGCCAGACTGCATCATCATACGACGCCTGACAGTGTCGAAAGGATAGGAAACCAGACCGGCTACAGCAGTGACACTCTGAGCAATCATCCAGCTCACCATGATGTGCACATTCTTGGGATCTGGCATCATACCTTTTCATAAGAAACAGAAACACTAGCTTAGTATAGTCATACCAAAGTATAATACCACCCAACGGCCAGCACAAGAACCTTTAGTTTTCTCTTACCCTTAGCAGTATCATAGACACCAAAGTAAGCTGCTCTGTAGATGATAATACCCTGGACTGACACATTGAAGCCCTGGTAGAGACCTTTAAAACCATCTGACTTAAAGATCCTGGTAAGGCAGTCTGCAAGGCCGTTAAATTCTCTCTGGGCTGAACCTTTGCCAACATCAGCAGCCAGACGGGTTCTGGCAAAATCCAGAGGATAGACAAAGCACAGGGAGGTAGCACCAGCTGCTCCACCAGATGCCAAGTTACCAAGGAAGAACCTCCAGAACTGAGTGTGCTTGTCTACACCCCCCAAGAAGACCTGCTTGTACTTGTCTTTGAAGGCAAAGTTGAGAGCTTGTGTTGGGAAATAACGGATGACGTTAGCAAGGTTGCCTCTCCAGAAGGAAATGAAACCTTGTTCTTTGGGGATACGGACCACGCAGTCAACGATGCCCTTGTATTGTTGATCCACTGCAATCTGCTTGCTGGCATGCTGAACCTAAGACAAAAAAGATGAAAGATATAAGTGAATTATTCTATTTACTGATTGAAACTTAATAAACAGCATTACACTGACTTTGTTCACAGAACACATATACAGGGCTATTCACTGAACGGTGAAGAGTTTGGAGAAGGCAGGAGAAATGAACAATCTAGGATAAAGTAGCTGATTTGAAAAAAAATCTCCAATTCAGCTCACTTTCCGGATCAGCTATGTTGTCCTAGATTGTTCACTTCTCCTGCTTTCTCCAAACTCTTCACCCTTTAGTGAATAACCCTGTAAATGTATGATTACACTCCAACCTTTATTAATATATTATTCAGGATATGTCCAGGTCCATTTGTTTAACATTCATTTAAACTGTAATCCATTGTAGTCTATATTTTTAGGTCATACACTTTACATTCCACTCTAAGGGAAACCTGTACAAAGGGGGCTGCAATTGCTAATAATCCTAGTTGCCTGACTATATCTGGATTTAGTGTTGTCTTTCAGAGTAACTGGGCCAAATCAAGCATGTAGCCAGTGTAATTAGAACTTCTGATTTGCATACTTATTGCAGGAGAATAAATTGGAACATATTAAAGTAATTGAATCAACTATCATTTTCAAAAGAAAAGGACATCAATGGAACTCTTTATAATTCTCTTATTAAAGATTTGCTTCATAGGAAATGTATCATTCAAGCAATATATAGGCTACCATTGTTGACCCATCCTTCTGAAAAGGCCAGTTACCTGGATGTCATACTGATGCTTTGGTTCTGTCCTTGGATCACTAACTTTGAACAATTATAGAGATAGATATGAAAGGTTGCTTATTTTGACTTGTATTTGCTGCATACTTGTTTTAGGTCTTTGGCTCGGAATAACTGAAACTAGCAGGCAATAAGAATTTATTTTTATAACAAGCAATCTTAAACAGGCCATTTGTTGAAAAAGCTCTTTTGAATTTTTTTCGTCACTGCGGTCAAAATCGATCATTGATTTGACCACATCAACGATTAGAAAGTCGAATAAACATTGCGAAATCGATTTTGCTTGTTCAAAATTCTAATTGTGCATACCCTACTTAAGTTTACCAGAGATGTGGTGCAAGACAACCATCGTTTCCATTGTTATAATTTATATAATATATAGTTGACCTTAGTAATGAAAAATAAATCTTCTGGCAGTGTCCTAAACATAAATGGCTGCTTCCATTGGCTGAAGCATAGTGGAGATGTGCTATGGCATCTTATTGAGAAAACAATAGTGTTCAGACAAGATTTTCTAACTAACTTTTCTATCTAATTGCCATTTCTTATTGAACATTGGCCAACAGCATCCAGATCCTCACAGGCATAAAATTGTCACCCAATCTGGTCTAAACAGTAGCATGGGAAAACTGACATGTAATGTCAAGGGACAGTTGAGATTAGGAAACCGTCTGGTTAGCTGATCCTGAGGTAAGAATTGATCACACGGGACGGACTCTCTTGGCTAGTGTTATTCCAAGATAAAGATACACACAGGAAATGGACAAGTAATCCAATCTGGCTGCTTTTGCTCAGATCAGATTATAATTTAATGTCTATGTGGTACCCATAGACACCACCACCTATGGGCGCATGTCAAGTTAAACGACATAGGCTAAACATGAGTGGCCAAGTCTTGGCTAAGTTTTAAAGTCATGTCAGCAGAGTGTCAAGAGAGACAAGATGCAATGTGAATGATGTGTACCCTATTAAGAGTTGCTGTTGGCCTCAAATATTGGTTTCTGTTCTGCTACACAAATATAATTCAGTATGATTTTGTTTGTTACAATTCTTTCCACATTTTGTTGAGTTCATCATGTTACTTCCAAAGACAGACACATAGATAGAGAAGAGCAGCAAATGGATGAATGGGATTTGTAGCCAATGTGAAGCAGCTGAGTATTAAGGATGTGCTGAAGAGGTATAAGTATGATTTACACCTGGGGACTGACGCTTTTAGCTGTCATCCTCGAGTGTGACACTACTGTTTATGTTGATGTATTGCATAAAACATAGCACAGCTACTAATGCTGCCAGTATGTAATGTGAATCCTCATGGAAGTCAACAAAGCTGCACATATAGGTTTTGCTTTTGGGGGGCACAGCACAGTTCTACCTTATACACAAACAGACACATTACATGGTTCCCTACATTTCAGGTTACTGCAACTGAATAGATTAATATGACTACCTGTTAACAGGACACTGAGTAATAAAAACTTGACAAAGATAGTCAATATTTGCCTATTAAGCATGCAAAAATGTAGGGGCTCACAGAGAACTCTGGAAAAATAAATCAACAAATACATGTGATGAAAGCGGGGGGCACGATAAACGTGTCAGCCATGCAACATTTGCTGCTGATTGTGCTTTAAGTGGATGCTAGTACTGATGTCTGAATGTTTAATTTTCCTAATCTGATGAACTTGATCATGCCTGAGGTGCCATGGGATCTGAAGACACCTCTAGATGCATCTTTTTTTGTGTCAGTCTGTGGGCTTTAGATGGTCATTCCACTTGAAACGATAAATAACCTGACAATTGTTTTTATCTTTTAGGGATTTCATTGTCTGCTTGAGCTTCTGGGTCTGCACACCAGCTATAAAAAAATTATATGTAAACCTAATCACTACAACCTTTTTACATTTAAAATGCTAATGTCATTTAAACATTTCTTTTCAATCATTTTACATCTGCATCTTTCATGTGGTGACCCTGCCATGAGGCACTTCCTGTTATACTATGATTAAGCTCTGTCCCTGTCTCCTAATTGTGCTCCGTACTGTCATCATGTCACGATGACTTCTGATGTATAGACTACAAGGTGCCACCATCAGGAAACCCATCCTGAGTAGTGCATTGCACCGATTGTTGGAGTACATGTAGACAGGAAATGCCTGCACGGGATCAGCAGCGCTGAAATCCAGAGGAAGATAAAAAAGGGTTAAAACTAATATTTTATTAAAATTTGCTTTTACATCTACTTTAATTTATTTCACAAAGAACGGAACAGAAGGAGTTGGAGCCTGCAAAGGTATTTGGGGAACATCAAGAACTCCCAATTGGACAGGGACGGAGTCAAAGGGAATTATGTCAGGTAGATCTCTCTGCCAAAATATCAAAGGCATATAGTGCATCAAGGACTGAATCCACCTACAACTAAAATATCACTTTCAGACTCAGTTGACCTGGACCGTTGATGCTAAAATAAAACCTGTAGTGATAGAAATATGGGGCTTCCTTTGCTGACCTCTCTTTAAAAATGCCTATTGCTATAGCTAGCTTTTCCCCTAGCTTTTCTGCCATGGATTCTTTGTAAATCACTGACATAGAACAAGTATGGAAACAAAAAAATCATAGTGATGATCTGCATACTTGTTCTAGGTCAGTGTTTGAGGAAGTATTGGAATTGATGTATTAACATGACATCCAAGTAACGAGCAGCCTCAGAAGGAGAGGTCACTTCTTCAGTTTTGTCCATAGAGAACTGGTTTAAAATCCTATCTGAAATCTATGATTCCAGCCAGGATCTTGTTACACTGTCCTTCATGGGTCAAAGGAATCGGTTGCTAAAAAGTGCAAATAGTCAGAATGTCTAAACTACAGTAAAAAAATGCTAATGAGTACTTAAAGCAGAACTCCTGGGAAAATATTATTAACCCTTGCAATGTGGCTACCCCAGCACTGCAAGAGTTAAGTGCTCCGTTTGGTCTAGGGACTAAAATAATTTTTTTTTACTCACCCCATCCCCAGAGCCAGCTTGCTATTAGACCACTCCCTCTAGTGTCTCTCCGCCTCCACTGCAGTGGTCTAAGGATCCTCGAGTCATTACGTCCAATACACTGTTTATTGGATGTGGGGACACCGAGAGACATAACATTGCTGCAGCATAGGAGGAGAGAGGCTGGAAGGAGTGCTGTGACAGGTGGCCCGCCCCTAGGTTTGTGTAAGTGTCGCTTTTTTTTATTTGAGCCCCTTGATGAAAGCGAGCATTTAACCCTAGCAGTGCTGGGGAAGCCCCATTGCAAGGGTTAA